GGTTAGCTAGAGGCTGCAATAACCAATTTTTTAAAACTAGGCCACAATAACCATGGACTAATATTTACTGTAGTGACACTGGGCCTCCTACTGGCCATAGAAACAGTGGGCCTTCTACGGGCCGTAGAAACAATGGGCCTTCTATGGGCTGTAGAAACAATGGGCCTTCTGCGGGCTGTATTATCAATGGGCCTTATACGGGCCGTATAATCGATTGGCCAAACATGGGCCAAACAGACTGCATTATGGCTGTAAACGGGCTAGAGTTGGAATCATCCGTTCATGGGCCGACCATAATGGGCCATCGTTAATAGGCCATATTTGATGACGCTATGAAATCGGCCCAACGTATTAACGGACCACAACCGGGCCGACTGTAACCACAGGCTGAATTTGGCCCACAAGCAGAAAATGACAGTAACGGGCCGTAACTAAACGAATGCTGGAAACGAGCCCAAGAATAAATGGGCTCTGAGAAGGCCGAAAGATAACATGGGCTCAAAACGGCCCAACGGAATAATGGGCCATTAATGGGTATAAAGTGATACACTGTTCATGACGGGCCAGTTTCACCACGGGCCGTTAATGGGTGTAAAGTTATACACTGTTCATTACAGGCCAGTTTCACCACAGGCCGTTAGTAGGCCGAGAGTTACATAGGGCCTCATATGGGCCGAAAGACATAATAGGCCATACATGGGCCAGAAGTGAAAACAGGCTGGAATCATATTGGATGGCCCAGATGACGCTACTGGGCCTAATTCGGATAGGGTGTAACGGGCCTTGGGTTAGCGGGCTGTAAATGGGCTATATTCAAACAGGCCGTTAACAGGCTTTCCATGGGCCGGCCCGCCAACTTTTGACCAAGTCAAAATGGGCCGACCTTTTCACAGGAATGGGCCTCTGTTGGGCCGTGCCACGTGTCGACGTATCATAGGCACCTATCTGACCCACTGACGAGCTGAAACGTGTTTCGTCTGGCCAATAAGAATTTTACACGTGGAAATTTCCCATTGGTCGGGGCTGTTAACGGGTTATCGGATACAAAACCCGACCCGATAGCTTAACGGCGTTCCGTTACGGTGGATTCCACGTGTTGGTCACCCTTGACGAAAGCACTTCTGTGACGCGTGATTTATCGTCATGGAAGTGGACACTTCCGTGATGATAATTTTGGTAATGTCATGGAACACTTCTACAACAGCACGGGTATGACTATTTTGATTCTATCAAAAATTTGTCATGGATGTACATGCATGACAAAAAAAGCGACCTACTGTGACAAACACGTATCATCACTAAAGTGTATTTTTTGTAGTGTGAGTAGAGCATCGGGAGGGTGCCGGTGGTCGCCGCGCACTTGAGCTGGTCTGACGAACTAAAGGTGATGGCGCACTTGGACCAACAGAGCGGGCGCGTGGCCTCGAGCCTGGGAAGGGCCGCGTTCACCTCGTGAGAAAACTACTTGAAGGCACGTTGAGAGGCTGGGGCTTGATCACCACCCAAGATATAGACGATGGCACATGGCTCCTGGAAGCCCCCAGCCCCCTCGTCTTGATGGTGGTCGTCGTTCCTTCTTGGTGGGGGATGCAACAGAGGGAGGCCGGCGTTGTCCTGAGGGCGGTCCTCACGAGGCTGGTCTTTCCAGGCGCCCTCGCGAGGTTGGTCCTGCCAGCGTTCCTCACGGGGCTGGTCACGCCACTCCTGGTGGGGGCCGCGATCGTCCTAGCGTCCTCCGCTTCGTCCTCCTCCTCGGTCATAGCCTCGGTCGTTGCGCTCGGGGCGTCGACCGAAGTGCCCATCTCGAATGGCCCTGAGCTCCTGATAGTCGCTGGTGTTGTGGCTGTGAACATTGTGGAAGGCGCAGAATAGGCGGTTGGCCTTGGATGATTCGGGGTGGTCGCGGCCGCGCTTCATCGCTGGCTCCGCCGCGAGCATGGCAGCCCCCTTGCGCTTCACGTCCTTGATCTTTGCCTTCTTGTCCTCCTGGTCAGCAGCTGGGAGCTCGAGGAGGGAAAGGCATCCTTCCTCAGCCCTTGTGCACTTGGTCGACATATTGAACATTTCCAGGGTCATGCATAGCTCCTCGTGGATGGCGAGCTCCTCCTTCATCTTGACGTCGCGGATGCCATCGGAGAATGCAAAGATGATGGCCTCGTCCGTCAGCTTGGGAATCTTGAGGAGAACGTTGTTGAATCGATGGATGTACTTCTGCAGGGTTTCCCCGGTTGCTGCTTGATGCACCACAGGTCGCTTGCGGCCGGCAGGCGGTCGCGAGTACCCTAGAAGTTGGCGACGAAACGCTCGCGCATCTCGCCCCAGGAGGATATTGATCCCGCAGGCAAGTTTAGGAGCCACGAGCGCGCGCCATCCTTGAGGGCCATGGGAAACCAGTTCGCCATGACCTTCTCGTCTCCGTTGGCTGCCTCGATGCTCAACTCGTAGAGCTACAAGAACTCCACGAGGTGGGGGATGACGTCATAGCACGGAGGCAGGTCTAGCTTGAACTTCCCTGGCCAGACGACGCTACGCAGCTCAGGAGTAAAGGCACGGCAGCCTGCTATGGTCACTAGGGCCCGTCGCGGTGGCAGAGCCTGATCCTGATATCCACGCGCCGCCACTGCAGGCGGTGCGCGGTCTTGACGCAATGGTGCTGGGAGCGCAGGAGCGTTTTCTTGCGACGTCAGGACTTCTTGGCAGCTTCCTTCTTCGTGTGTGAACGCCCATCATGGCGGGTCATGCCGCGGGACCGCGCGCCTTGGTGCGAGGGCGCCGTCTTGATCCGGAGGAGGCAGTGGCACTCCGTGAGCCACGCGTCTTGGTGCGAGGGCGCTGTCATGATGCGGAGGCGGCGGAGGCGCTCCATGAGCTACGTTGCCCTCAGCTGGGGGTGGGCGAGGCAGCAAGAGAGACGGTGCGGGAGAGCCCCTGGCAGTGCTGGCAAGCTCAGCGATGCGGTCCAGCCAGTCTCGAGCGGTAACGCAGGAGCTCGCGTGCCATGATCAGCGCGGCCTGCGCGTCCGTGGGCGCGCACTACAAGAAATATGTCAACTTGTGACCACCACTATTGCTCATTGAATGGTCACAAATTTTCATTTGTTACCTTTTTGTGACCAAAAACATAAGGTCAAAAGCTGGCCGTCATAAACTGACATTAGCGACCTTTCTTATGGAATGGTCGAAGACGTTTATGACCAAAATACGTCTACTATGGCGTTTTGGTCACTAGCAACCTCCCCAGGCCACGTAGGCATCCAATTCGGTTTTCTACATGGGCCTAGCCCAACAATTCGGCCTTTTTACTATATATGTTCTCTATTAATTTTCTCTAGCTACATGGGCCTGGCCCAATAATTTGGCCTTTTTATTTCTAGATGCGGCCTTTTACAGCGTATGATCTTTTACTTTTTTCTATTTTATTTTCCACTGTTTTACATTTGTCCCAAATATCATAATATCATACACTGGTCCCACACGTCAGAAATTTCAAATGTGCTCAAATTATTTTGATAAGTGGGTCGCATGAGTCATGTTTTCATTGCACACATTTTCAAATCACATACATAATTACTATTTCATATGAAACAGGAATTGTAATTCTGAAACATACATGAAATTCACAGAGAGAAGATACATTAAATCACGTACATAATTACTATTTCATTCACAAACAGAGAGAAGATACATTAAATTCCCAGATAACCCATCTATTATTACATAACTTGCTATATAAGAATGTCTTGGAGCTTCTTTGAACATCTTTCGTCTTGAATTTACTCAAAATATCTGCCAACAAGAAAACAGAACAGCAAGGATAGGGTGAATAACAACAACAACAACAACAACAACATGGGATGCTATTTAGTAGTAAGATCAAGTTTGGAATGTAAGAATGCTTTGTTGTAATTGATAACTAAAATCTACAACAGCTCAAAGTGGCAGTAGCTAAAACACAATCTCAAAAAAAGCATATAATTGATGTGACATAACAAACTAGACAACCAAGAAATTGATGTGACATAGCTAGTTTCCAGCAATATCCAACGACAAATTGATGTCACATATATGTATCTATCAGGCAAACAGCGGATGTACTGTACTGATAACATTAGACTAGAAATAAGAGCCTCAGAGATCTTGGTGGTTAAGATCATCAAGTGGGATAAACCCATTAAGAGTAGCAAATATTTTGATAACATCACAGGCTCTGTTTGGCACACAGAAAATTAATCAGTTGAAGCAGAGGCGATGTTTGGCATCACTGCATTTTACAGTTCCAAAACAGACAAACAGAGTCAGGAATCGGCAGTAAAGCAAGTATACGTATATAGGAATCTCTACTTGGAACCTAGAGTAAGAAGCACGGCTAGAAGAGCCCAAGAATTAATTAATCATGTGTTATTCTTTAACTGGAATGTACGTGCATCATCAACAGAGAGGTGTGAGCTCTGGACCTAATTGGTTGTGAGAATGGACTGGACTATTCCAAATATGTGCATCATCATCAGTTCTGTGAAGCAAATCTACATATCATATTTCTAGAATGGGCGCACCCAGTTGCTCACAAGTAGATTCAAACCCAACTTGTAATGCAATGATGTTTCTTGTACAGTATTACTATAGTTACCTAAATTGCCATGGGAATACTGACAGCAGAAATAGGGGAACGAGAAATAAGTTAAATTAGAGCTAGCAGTTCCAAACAATCACTAAAAACAGCAGCAAAAGCAGACAAAGATGCCCGCCAGAGACATTCCCATAGGTAAAGCAAGCACCTTAAGCCCTCTCGCCACGAATCCTCGAAGAGACCCACCAGGTAGGCCTCTGCAGCCTCCTGAAGGGCCAGCACCGCATGGCTCTAGAAGCGGAGGTCAGTCTGCACAGACAGAACAGGATGGTGCTTTTAGTTTACTTGATTCATCATACTATAAGAGTTGACACAACAGGAGCATCACAATGTAGTGCACAAGTGGATTGATCACCTTGAAGTCCTGGGCAATCTACCTAACAAGCCTCTGGAATGGAAGCTTCCTGATGAGTAGCTCCATGCTCTTCTGGTACTTGCGGATCTCACTGCAAAGTCAAGCACAAAATTTACTCATTTGAGAACACTTCAAAACAAAACTATAACACATGCTAGAATAGGTTGGAAGATTTTACACACCAAAGAGCAATAGTTCCAGGGCGGTAACGATGAGGCTTCTTCACTCCTCCAGTTGTGGGAGCAGACTTACGGGCAGCCTGTCAAAAAGCAAAGTAGAGCACATGGTTAAATTAACAATAATACCATGATAGTCCATATACATCAGTAAGATATCTGGTCATAAGCTGGCAATGAAGGTTGAGGTTCAAATTATACCTAGTTCAATTTACCTAAACCATAAATAAAGACATGGCATAGGTAAACTATCAATATTGCAGTCACAAACCTTGTGGCTAGCTGCTTCCTAGGAGCCTTTCCTCCAGTGGACTTACGAGCAGTCTGCTTAGTACGAGCCATGAGCAAAACCTTGGTTTACCTGAAGCAAAAATAGAACATAGTCAATTCTATAAATTGAATATCACAATAACACAACTATAGTCTTCTCATAACCAGTAAATTGTGCCTGGCACCTTGTTGCTAGCAAATCCATTCAATAACTATAGAGTCCCAAAAATCATCAGCCTAGAATACCTACCAAATTTTTGTACATCAAAAACTAACAACGTCATACAACACAGCTATACACCCCTTCAGATAGAAAGCAGTGTATTTCTAACTAAAACTTTTCATTCAAAAGATCAGACCCAAGATAGAATTCCACTTCAGATGAAAGTCCTGATCTACCTTTAGCATAGTTTGTTCACTCGAAAGACACATATAAAGATGACACACTAAAAAACTATAGCCTAGTAGTTTTTTTAACACTAAAGAAAACAAGGCTACCATGATCACCTAATTTTGCAAACAGAAGCAAGAAAAGAAATAGCAGTCCACTGATAAAAATATGCTTCCTAGTTATCACATGTAATGGTTGAACATCAACTTCACATAGTTATGTGCACATGATTTTAGTAATTAGCTAACTGGCAAGTTGATACAATTCAGATACAATAAATGTGAATGTGCATGTACTCAATGTGCATGTACTAAGAAGCCAAGAACACTGAAGAATTTACTGATTAAACAAGCAATGGTCATTTCATCCCAAACCTCTCAACTTCACAAAACTAAATCAATGTCCCGGGAAGGAATCACCAGAAATTTTACCACATACAGTACAAGCACAATGAAGTAGCATACCGAACAGCAGAGCAGGTAGCGGGGGAGGAGAGGGGGGCTGAGGAGCGGCCGCTTGCCTTGGCGACGTAGTCCATCAAGGAAAATTTGAAGGCGATGCCGAGGCAGCCAAAGAGGACGGAGACGTTGGAGCAGGCACGCGAGAAGTCCCCCACCGCCATCGCGGGCTGCTGCTGTGGCTTGGCGACGGCCGTGAGCTACTCGAACGACGCACTGATCCACTACAGCGGCTTGTCCGCCTCGTTGGACCCCATCAGCATCGGTGGTGCTTAGCGCCGCCGCGGTGGTGCCCACGGCGCCGAGGATCTCGCGGTTTCTCAGGGACTGGCTCGCCGCCTCCAAGGCCGCAAGGGCCGACGCTACCATCGCGTCGCCAGGGCCGCAGCCACGCGGTCGACGGGCACCACGCGGATGCGGTTGTGGATATGGGCTCCGACGGCACGGACCCCCTCCGCCAAGGGCACCCTACCGCCGGCCGCCATGGAGGGGTTGGCCATCGAGGAGGAAGGGGTCTCAGGCTAGGGTTTCGGCTGGAAGTGGGGAGTGTCTCTCGGCTCGGCATGGAGGAGGCCGGGATTGGGGAAGAAGCAGTTGGGTCAATCCAGAGATCCAGAGAGGAGGAGAGGAGGAGGAGGAGTCGGTTGGAGGGTTGGAGGGGATTGATCCATATGAATCTCGCCGGACAGAGGGCGCCGGAGGTGGTGCGGATTGGAGGGGATTGATCCATATGGATCTCGCCGGACAGAGGGCGCCGGAGCTGGCGGTGGCCAGGGAGGAGTGGAGCGCTAGGGTTTGAGAGAGAGAGAGAGAGAGGCGAGTGGGCACGAGGGGTTGGGTGCGGTTGGGTGCGTGGGAGGGAGTGCGGGTTGTGGGTTGGGCGACGTGGGTGAGACAGGTTGGCCGTTGGATCCAGGAGCATCCGACGGTGATTAGGCACGATCCGCGTGAGATGCTCCTGGACCAATCAGAACGCAGTATACCAGTACTACATTTTTTGACCATCTAAATTGGTCGTAATCGACTAAAAGTAAGGTGCTAAATCATATTGGCTATTTTATGATCTGAAAAATAAAAATAAAAATAAAATATCTTCTCATGTTTCATCAAATTTGACCTTGGTTTTCAGGAATAATGACAAATTGAAATAAGACAAATATCTTTTAAAAGAGTTAGGAGAAATTAGTTTTTTAAATCATTTTCCATTTTTAAAGTGTCCAAAATGAGTTTTTTGTGAAGGACATACTATATATTTGTTGCAAAATTATACCAAATCAATTTTCTAAAATACTAGGTCATATTTAATGCACAATTGACCAAATGGTTGGGTGTCAAAAGTTTTGATCCACCTCTGGTGAAAAAGACAAATTCCCGCCGATTCAGCTGGAAGCGGGTCAAATTTGAACTGCAGCTGCCTCATAGTTTGCTATTTATTTTTTCCAAAAATCATTTCTAGGTACATAAGTATCTATTTAATCAGAGAAACACCAAAAAAATTCCAAGATTCAACCACTACCTAGGAACGGTCAAGCCCGCCGTTTTGACCGTATTTTGAAACGGGCATAAAAAATTCAAAAAAATCAAAAAATTGGAAAACCATCGCATTGTGCCATTATATGTGACCAAATTTCCAGGAAAAATAATAAACTTGTAATACGGTAATTATTTTAAAAAAGTGTTCTCAGAAATGAGCTATCATGCGTGAAGATTCATGACTTTCAAGCCAAATGATCAATCTTATGGCCACATTCATGGCATAGTTTGTTCAAATGATCTCATATTGTGCACAAGGGTGCATCTTGGAATTCCAAACAATGTTTCCTAAGGAAGTTTTCATTTTCTTTGCACGGAAAATTCATTTTCCATTTTTCGAGTGCCCAAAAGGAGGTTTTTTGTGAAGGACCTACCAAATAATTGTTGCAAAAATGGACCAAATCAATTTTATAAAATACTAGGACATATATAATGCACAATTGACCAAATGGTTGGGTGAAAAAAGTTTTGATCCACCTCTGGTGAAAAAGACAAATTGCCGTCGATTCAATTGGAAACGGGTCAAATTTGAATTGTAGCTGCCTCATAGTTTGCTCTTTATTTTTTCCAAAATCATTTATAGGTACATAACTATCTATTTAATCAGAGAAACACCAAAAAAATTCCAACATTCAACCACTAGCTAGGAACGGTCAAGCCCGCCGTTTTGACCGCATTTTGAAATGGGCATAAAAAATTCAAAAAAATCAAAAAATTGGAAAACCTTCGCATTGTGTCATTATATGTGACCAAGTTTCCAGGAAAAATAATAAACTTGTAATACAGTAATTATTTTAAAAAAGTGTTCTCAGAAATGAGCTATCTTGTGTGAAGATTCATGTATTTCAACTCAAACGATCAATCTTATGGTCACATTCATGGCATAGTTTGTTCAAATGATCTCATATTGTGCACAAGGGTGCATCTTGGAATTCCAAACAATGTTGCCAAAGGGAGTTTTCATTTTCTTTGCACGGAAAATTCATTTTCCATTTTTCGAGTGCCCGAAATGAGGTTTTTTTGTGAAGGACCTACCATATATTTGTTGCAAAATTGTACCAAATCATTTTTATAAAATACTAGGACATATTTAATGCACAATTGACAAAATGGTTGGGTGTCAAAAGTTTTCATCCAGCTCTGGTGAAAAAGACAAATTCCCGCCGATTCAATTGGAAGCGGGTCAAATTTGAACTGCAGCTGCCTAATAGTTTGCTATTTATTTTTTCCGAAAATCATTTCTAGGTACATAAGTATCTATTTAGTCTGAGAAACACCAAAAAAATTCCAATATTCAACCACTAGCTAGGAACTGTCAAGCCCGCCGTTTTGACCGCATTTTGGAAACAAGCATAAAAAATTCAAAAAAAATCAAAAAATTGGAAAACCTTAGCATTGTGTCATTATATGTGAACAAGTTTCCAGGAAAAATAATAAAATTGTAATACAATAATTATTTTAAAAAAGTGTTCTCAGAAATGAGCTATCAAGTGTGAAGATTCATGGCTTTCAAGCCAAATGATCAATCTTATGGCCACATTCATGGCATAGTTTGTTCAAATGATCTCATATTGTGCACAAGGGTGCATATTGAAATGGCAAACAATGTTGCCTAAGGAGGTTTTCAATTTCTTTGGACGAAAAAACCATTTTCCATTTTTCGAGTACCTGAAATGAGTTTTTTTTGTGAAGGACCTACCATATATTTGTTGCAAAATTGGACCTATTCAATTTTATAAAATACTAGGCCATATTTAATGCACAATTGACAAAATGGTTGGGTGTCAAAATTTTTGATCCACCTCTGGTGAAAAAGACAAATTCCCGTCGATTCAGTTGGAAGTGGGTCAAATTTGAACTGCAGCTGCCTCATAGTTTGCTATTTATTTTTTCAAAAATCATTTCTAGGTACATAAGTATCTATTTAATCAGAGAAACACAAAAAAAATTCTAATATTCAACCACTAGCTAGGAACGGTCAAGCCCGCCGTTTTGATCGCATTTTGAAACAGGCATAAAAAATTCAAAAAAATAAAAAAATTGGAAAACCTTAGCATTGTGTCATTATATCTGAACAAGTTTCCAGGAAAAATAATAAAATTGTAATACAGTAATTATTTTAAAAAAGTGTTCTCAGAAATGAGCTATCAAGTGTGAAGATTCATGGCTTTCAAGCCAAATGATCAATCTTATGGCCACATTCATGGCATAGTTTGTTCAAATGATCTCATATTGTGCACAAGGGTGCATATTGAAATGGCAAACAATGTTGCCTAAGGAGGTTTTCAATTTCTTTGGACGAAAAAACCATTTTCCATTTTCCGAGTACCTGAAATGAGTTTTTTTTGTGAAGGACCTACCATATATTTGTTGCAAAATTGGACCTAATCAATTTTATAAAATACTAGGCCATATTTAATGCACAATTGAAAAAATGGTTGGGTGTCAAAATTTTTGATCCACCACTGGTGAAAAAGACAAATTCCCGTCGATTCAGTTGGAAGCGGGTCAAATTTGAACCGCAGCTGCCTCATAGTTTGCTATTTATTTTTTCAAAAATCATTTCTAGGTACATAAGTATCTATTTAATCAGAGAAACACAAAAAAAATTCTAATATTCAACCACTAGCTAGGAACGGTCAAGCCCGCCGTTTTGACCGCATTTTGAAACGGGCATAAAAAATTCAAAA